CTCTTTGGTTTTGAGACTTTAGTCTTTGCAACTTCAGGGATCTTATCTATGCACAATCAGCTTGTAACACTCCAAAGAGAAAGGAAAACTTGAAATCGCATCATATGACCCCTTTAAAGTATTTAAAACTCTCTTTATAATTGTTATAAATGATATAATTTTGTTATATAATTGTCTTATAATTGTGATAAATATATGACAGTTCTAAAATGTAAAAATGTATGCATAATACAAAAGTCTGGGGGTCAGGTTTTTTTGTCAACATTCAACAGAAATTAATACTTCAGCAAGGAAACATTAAGGTAATTAAAAGTGACAGTAAATACAATATATATATATATATATATATATATATATATATATATACCTGTAAATGTCATATAAATGTTTTTTTTTTTTACTTTCAAAGAATCCTGAAATAAATGTATGATTTTTAAGTAATTTTCAACATTAACAATAATAAGAATAATAAGAAATATTGCTTGAGCACCAAATCAGCATATTAAAACGATTTCTGAAGATCATGTGACACTGAAGACTGGAGTAATGTCTGATAAAAATGTAGCTTTGCCAACACAGGAAGAAAAAAAATATTAAAATTGACAACAGTTATTTTGTAATGATTTTTCACAGTATTACCGTTTCACTGCACTCAAATAAATGCAGCATCAGTGAGCATAAAAGACTTTTCAAAAAAGTAAAAAAAAGAAGAAAAAAAACATATATATTATATTGCATGACACTTGAGTCTTAAAAGGTGTTAAAGTTTCTTCCTCATTTCTTTTCCTGTTCAGTCTCACCAGAGACAACATAATAAAGACAAACCATACAAGTGTCCGAACTGCTACCGTGCATACACAGACTCGGCCTCCTTACAGATCCATCTCTCCGCACACGCTATTAAGAACGCTAAATCGTACTGTTGCAGCATGTGTGGTCGCGCATACACCTCAGTGAGTATCAATCCACCTCAACCTATGGGAAAATATGGGCCTCTTTTGTCATATTATAACACCATTTCTTTTTTTTTCAGGAGACCTACCTTATGAAGCACATGTCCAAACACACCGTGGTGGAGCATCTGGTCAGCCACCATTCCCCCCAGAGAACAGACTCTCCCAGCATCCCCATACGCATTTCACTTATTTGAGCTTCCTCCCTCATGTTTCTCTTCCATTACAAGGTATTTTGTTCGCTGCAATGGTCTTCCGTTAAAGAGGTCCTATTATGCTCTTTTACAAAGTCTTGATTTTGTTTTGGGGATGTACTAGAACAGGCTCTTATACTAGGTTGTTCGAAAAACACATTATTTGTCACATATTTTACATTATTACAACACCTCTCTCCCCAGTCTTGCTTGAACGGCCTGTATGAGGAGTTCCTGTATCAAATGAAGGCCCGCCTTCTGAAATCGAAATGTGCTGTGATTGGTTAGCTGGGCCAGTGTGTGTTGTGATTGGCAGCACTTGGCGCCTGGTCGGGACATGTCATGCCCCTTACCATAGCCGCCTGCGAGCTTCAGTGTAAATATTGCGTCAAAATCAAATCAGTTTCAGTGCGATTTAAACCCGGATGATTGTAACCAATCTAAGTTCGTCTGCCTTGGGAAAGCTAGTGTGTCTCCGACATAGTGATAACACTCGTTGCCTTCTCTAGTGCAGCTCAACCAGGTCTCGTACCATTCGTCGATATTTGTGGTATCACAAATCCTGGAAAATATGTGTTGTAGTCCAAACTAGTCATTCGTTGTAGTTTTTGAAAAGTGATTTCTGTTAAATAAAATATCTCCTTTTGAAGTGGACTTTGAACTTTGTAACTTTGGAGATCTTTTTTATTCTCAAACAGCAACATTACAGACTAACTAAAGTTGAAAAAGTGAAAAAGCATAATAGGACCCCTTAATAGGATAATTGGACCTCGGAGGACATTTGAGTCTGATATTGTCTTTGCCCCTTTAGCTCTTAGTGATATTAAGCCCACAGGCCACAGACTCAACAACTGCTGTCTGAACTGAATGGTTTGATTCAACTCCAGACACCAGTCTAAAGGATTTGAATTGATTATTCCAAAAACAGAGTGTCACAGTTGTGACCATTTTAACATTTTGTTTCAAAGGTGTGTAAGGGAGACTTCCAAAGATACTCTTTAAGCACTTTTCAGCCTCGTGGTTTTGGCTCAAAGTCGAATGAATCTTTTCAGAATGGGAGCAGCTTCTCGCTTTGGGCAGCTATGAGAGGTTAAACTTCGTTTTAGAAAGTCAGACGGATTTTGTTGGTTTCCGTCTCCACTTCTCCTCCTTGTCATTTGTTTTAACAGGATATTGTGTATTATTTTGCTGTGGATATGACACTTCTACCACTTTAAGCGTCTATTAACCTTTTATATGGGGTATTAGGTCATGGTGAGAAATGAAAAGTGTAAAGTCAATTTTGTGAATTTTATAAGCATGGTCATTGCCCTAGTATTTTTATACAGGTAAAGGTGAAGGAATTCCAAGAAATCCCCTGCTAACATAAAAGAGTGTAAATAAGATGTGACACTCTCTAAAATAATGACTTGTGTTATTTGCATCATAGATGTTTAACTTGTTTCAGTTTCTGTAACAAGGCCTTTTTTGTGTGCAATGCAAATTTCATCCCTTCCAATGTGATAACACTCGTTGCCTTCTCTAGTGCAGCTCAACCAGGTCTCGTACCATTCGTCGATATTTGTGATATCACAAATCCTGGAAAGTATGTGTTGTAGTCCAAACTAGTCATTCGTTGTAGTTTTTGAAAAGTGATTTCTGTTAAATAAAATATCTCCTTTTGAAGTGGACTTTGAACTTTGTAACTTTGGAGATATTTTTTATTCTCAAACAGCAACATTACAGACTAACTAAAGTTGAAAAAGTGAAAAAGCATAATAGGACCCCTTAATAGGATAATTGGACCTCGGAGGACATTTGAGTCTGATATTGTCTTTGCCCCTTTAGCTCTTAGTGATATTAAGCCCACAGGCCACAGACTCAACAACTGCTGTCTGAACTGAATGGTTTGATTCAACTCCAGACACCAGTCTAAAGGATTTGAATTGATTATTCCAAAAACAGAGTGTCACAGTTGTGACCATTTTAACATTTTGTTTCAAAGGTGTGTAAGGGAGACTTCCAAAGATACTCTTTAAGCACTTTTCAGCCTCGTGGTTTTGGCTCAAAGTCGAATGAATCTTTTCAGAATGGGAGCAGCTTCTCGCTTTGGGCAGCTATGAGAGTTTAAACTTAGTTTTACCAGAATATCGTGTTTTATTTTACTGTGGATGTGACAATTCTTCCACTTTAAACTTCTATTATTCATTTAGGTCATGGAGAGACATGAAAGGTTACATTTTGAGTTCTGTATGCCGAACACAGTTGCGGTAAAGTCAGTTTTGTGGATTTTATAAGAACGGTCATTGCCCGAGTATTTTGTACTCTCAAAGGTAAAGAAATTCCAAGAAATCCCTCACTAACATAAAAGAGTGTCAATAAGATATGACACTCTCTAAAATAATGACTTGTGTTACTTGCATCATAGATGTTTTACTTGTTTCAGTTTTTGTGACAAGGCCTTTTGTGTGTGCAATGCAAATTTCATCCCTTCCAATCACAGTATTTTAAGGAAAAAGTGTCCTTTTTGTCTTTTTTTTTCAAATAAATGCATAATTGCATGATAACAATGTCCATTAAATGGATTTTTGTCATGATGTAACAGAAGAAGTGTCACACAGGTTCAGTGTTGTTAACTGAATCACACATTTAGGGTGTAGCGTGACCTCTGAACTCCAGTTAATGCCCTCTATTCTTCCCAACATAAGCGATGCAAAAGCACCTTGAGACATTGTTACACTGATGGAAAGTGTTCATGGTTTTTTTTTTAATTATGATGTAATCTAAAAGCAGTGGCCTATTTTAAAATGTTTTTATTTGTCAAATTAGAATCTCATATACCAAAATAACAGTAATCATGTTTTAAGAAAATCGAGTGAAAAAAAGCTCATTTTGAATGTAGTTGTGTTCATTTCCACCGGTGCGTTTCTGTTAAATTAATCCAAAACGAATAACTCTGTAAATCTGGTATGTTTAACAGATTTTTTTTTTTAATGCAGTATATATACAGTGGGTACGGAAAGTATTCAGACCCCCTTAAATTTTTCACTCTTTGTTATATTGCAGCCATTTGCTAAAATCATTTAAGTTAATTTTTTTTCCTCATTAATGTACACACAGCACCCCATATCGACAGAAAAACACAGAATTGTTGACATTTTTGCAGATTTATTAAAAAAAGAAAAACTGAAATATCACATGATCCTAAGTATTCAGACCCTTTGCT